TAATATTTCAACGCTGTTTCAATAAAGAAACTTCAAGATCATGAGAAACTATAACTTGTTAAGCAATGTTGGCCATGGAAGAGCCAGCCATGATATAGAAATAATTTTTCCAAATTCATTTCCTAGGGTCTTTCTCCCGGAACAACCTCCTTCCTAGCACTATAACTTTCCTTTATTTCTATATCATGTATCTAATAGTGCCATGCAGTCCTTACTATTCATATCTTGACTCTACATGAAAGAGCCAGCTATTTTTGCATCAAATGGTATTTATTTGAATTTGCATTATTGTTTCTTGACCACTGGTGATATASTCCTTACCCTAGGGTTGGCTATTTTAAATTAATATATTTTATGTTGTGTTGTTGAGGAATTGTTATTGCTGTAGGTGGCCACAGTACTGAAAAGATTTATCCAAGTATTAAACTGATTCCATAAGTCGGTACCAGTTCCCTCTCTGTTAAAATATTTTTTGTTGCTCACAGGGCCGATGCTAGTTTGAGCGACAAACAGAAAAATCGAGGAGCGAATACTATAATTATGGAATCAGTCTACTGGTCAAGTATCATATAAATCAGGAAAAAATATGAATTAGCAACCAAAATTGAGAACGCTTCTCTCACTGCTATTCTGTTGTCCAGGAATTGACTGTTTATGATGCTAGCCCTACTCCCTGGGTGACCTCTGCTTGTAAAGTTTTCATSTTATGACTCTTGTAAGGTGAATATTCCAGGAAGGTAACATTATCTCCATGCAAACAGGAACTGACAACAATTAGTTTCAAGGGTTAAAACTAATAACTCTAAACTCATTCCCAATATCATTGTGAATTTTGGAATCCCAAAGACAAATCAGTTTACCCAATCCAACAACAGTGCTACCATTTCTCTCTCTCTAGCTGTCTCTCAAGATGCCTGGGAATAATGAATCTTGCCAAAAGTAGCCCACCTCACCAACAGTAGACTTTCTCAAAGTCCGTTTTTCCTGGTTCACGCCTTCTGCGTTTGTCTCGCGACGTGTCGCTCGAATTATCAGTGTCCCAATTTTCAGTGTCCCAACAGTGTGGTCGACTTGTGGCAAGCCTACACCAACAGCTGTTAGAGGTCAATGTAAAACACAAAATGGAATGTACATAAAATTTATTTTGTATTCAAAAATAGATAATTCTGTATGAAGTACAATTCTTAGGCCCTATTTTTTATTGGATGTGATTTAATTGATAATTTCTAACTAAAAACAAAAAAAGAATAGGATTGATATTTGAGCACCAGATACTTAGTATTCTGGAATTTGGACTGGAGATGGGATCAGAGCATTCACATCATGTTTAAACTTCTTTTCAAACAATATTGCATTCAAATTTAGTGTTTGCATACAGTTTTGAAAAGAATTTTGTTTACTATTTTTTAATTTGTTTCAGTCCATGATGGCCAATATGCATCACATAGATAAGAACTAGTTTTCATTTCTTTCCATTCGTTCTCCCATTCACTTTCACATAGTTTGTAAAGTGCCAAAGATGCTCTTGCATCTTCAATTGAACAGTGTTCACTAGTTTGAATTTCAGTTTGTAACACATTCCTTGTCAAAGTCTTTAACGCTGGCGTAGTGTACGTGGGCAAACCTGCCATGGCTCGAAGTGGTATGAATTTTGCTGTATCTCTCATGGAATAATGTGGRTGTTTTAACTTAAGTACAGTYAAGTCTGATTGAAGCGAGTGRCCAACTAAAACGCGACCTTTGAGCAATTTCTTAGCTTGTCTTCTTGCTTTACGAAATGGAATGGCTTTGGCCATGTCAGAAGGTCTTATTCCACTCCACTGAGTTCTATAATCCGTRATTTTGTCTTCGGGTTTGATGAAGTTGTCGAAGATRACATTTCCATCGTAGTTAACAATGCTACACCGTGCTAAAGCGYTCTTTTTCTCTGGACCAACTCCAACCATTTCACAATCGATAGCAACAAGCATTTTCTGCTTATCAAGTGTTACTTTAGGCTCACTAGGTACGTTTGATAAGTCGTTTTCAACGCTAGCCTCGCTGCCAGTCGAATCATCTTCCTTCAAGAATCCATTTTGATCAATATCTATTGATTTTCCACGTTTAAATTTAAAGCTTTTCCGCTTTTTCTTCTTCTGGGATTCATTTGTAAGTATTTCTTGATTTCTCATTATCTTGGAAAGTCCAAAAACCTTAAGAGTAGAAAATGTCAGGACAAATTTCATCGACTTCACWACGTTTTGATTACGACACGTGGTGAAATACCGGCAAGTGCCCTAGGTCGCCCTAGGTATATTTGCGGACACGATTGACCGAGGATGGGMCTAGGGATAGAAGATAGGAACGCCTGCCAGAAAGCTTACTCACGGAACTCGGTATTGCTCTGGAAACATTTTCTATGCTATTTTTTACAGGTGTTTAAGGATTATCAGGTTAGCTTACTTGGTTTATATATCTTCTATAAATTTATGAAAGATGTCGTGTTCGATTAGTGTTTATTATATAGATGATTTCTAACGCTCGCTCTGATTGGCCAAAGAAGTGTGTTTTATGAGAGTATAAACCACGATTGTGCGCTAGCGATTTTTGAAAACGGCAACAAAATGGATTTTTGCTTAAGTTTTGCTCAAAATCTATATAATAAAACAAATAAATAAGTCTCAGCTTGTGGTTTATACTCTGATAAACACACGCTTGTCAAGAAGCACGAGCTGTTCTTGACATTTTCTCGTGTAGTGCTTCTTGACATTTTCTCGTGTATTTCAAATGCCAAGCGTGCGTTTATCACCATCCACACAAAGCACTCCTTGCTATACTCCGATGCCAGTCCTTCAAACTCCCATCACTATTCTCCCAGCCAAGGTGACTAGGATCAGCTCTACCCGAGGGCTGGTGTATTTTTATTTACTGTCCAGCTAAACAGTATACATGTCGACGCTGGGAAGAAACCAACGGAAATACTAAATATTTTTAAGCTACTGGAACACTTTTTTGATTTAGTTGAGTCTTTAGCTGTGCCTCCAGATGCTCTCGACAAAATAATCTTGCGTGCTTGTATATTTATTTATTGATTTTGAAATTTATTACAACTTGTTACAGCTAGAACAGCTTTCAGTGAATGAAATATTTGAGTTTCCGTCGATTTTGATTTTGCGAGGACGATCAGAAACAAGGAGGGACAGCAAGGCAAAAATTCAACAAAAGACTGATCAAAATAGATTGAAGATTGCTGTCTTTGAAGCAGATATGAACTTTTGATTTTATTTTATCATGACCCCATGTGGAGGGATCATAAACACTAGATCATTCTTATTATCTACAATAGTACTTGACTTTTTTGCCACTTGCTTAGTTTCACTATTAAATTTTTAGTTTTGGTCTACTATTTGCGTGGTATTCAGTTAGTATTCGTGGCATCACTGAGTATTCGCGGTATTCAGTCACTATATGAGTTTTATCACTTACCCTTGTAACAGCACAATCCAATTGCTTTGACAGCGCTTACAAGAAATACAGCGTTGCAGCGCTGAATTAAGTGCTGTAGATTTCGTACAGGTTCTGATTTTTTTGCACTCAAGTACAATAATGATCTGGTGGACTAAATTCACATTTTGGCATACAGGAAATTTAACTGTAAGACATCTCACTTGCACAGTTTAAACTAACATGGTAAATTATTAGTAACAGGTATGTGATTTTCCCAAACGCAACACACTGTTGTTTGTTTTGTCTTTTTGAAGCATTCCTGACATAATTCACTTCTTGAAAAATGTAACATTTGTGCTGATTGGTCAAAAATCAGACAAAAGATTTTTCAGCCAAAACGTAGTATTTTTGAAAGTACCATTCACTACCATACAAAGGGGTGTGGACAACTTGGCAAGAAAAAATATTAAATTGAGAGATAGAGGGATGAAGTTATTTTGAAAAATGAGTCCAATTCAAATTTAGATTTTATTTAATTTATTCAGATCATAATCTCTATTTCAATATTTCTATTTCCCGCTAAGAGGGGAGGTGGTTAGACATACTAATCATGCATCCCTTATCATTGCTATACCCATTGRAAGATTGTGAAAAATTTAATGCTGTTACATTTGATAAGGCCACTACTAGTACTACTACTAGTACAGTAAGTTGGAAGGTTTTTGGCACATTTCAAATGCTTGTTAGCTTGCGGATATTATTACTATTGAAACTAAAACTTTATACTATTTCAATAAAATACAATCACACRTSWWST